GGGCGTGTGTGTTTCGGAGTGAGCGGCAACAGCAGGACGAGAACAGAACGTAAGCGCACACGTTGAATGCTCCCCGAGCCGTAAGGGATGCTGTGTTTTTGAAGTTTCGAACGTGGGGGGAGTCTTTGATCTGTGTTCTACGCAAATTTCATTATCTACTCATTTCCTTTTTGTGGAGAGGGATGTACCAGAGCAAGAAATCTTGGGGGGGCAATACCTGCCCGGATATGGCGAAGAGTCACTTCGCTTGGGTTGCTCCGTAGCTACTAGATACAGTAGGTTGTTCCCACTTGGATCGTTGTTCCCCGGGGGAATCAAGGACTTGGCTATTCCGACCGATTTTTTTTTTTGCTGTGTCTGGGGTGGGTGGAAACTACTGCTGTACGTGGGCACGAAAAAAGAGGCCTTTTTGTGACTGCTGTTGACCTCGCCAAGTGTTGAACAACCCACATGGCTCGTCGGACAACCACATATGATTTTGTTCAGATTGATTTCATAAGGTCCGCGTACTCCTGTCAACCATGGCATTGGGAGGTGATGCATGTTTTTTTTATGAGTTTGAGGTGCAACGACTCTTGACGCGGCAAGCGACGAGACTCCTTCCCCCTTTTGGCGAGGAGATCGCACACGTGATGAAATACTCGGAGTGTTTCCGGAAAAAATGTAACTCCCTCCGACCCCTTCAGATTTGGCTAAACAGCAAGAAGTGGAGCTACAGCATTATGACAGGGCATTGCGATGCTTTCACGCACGTCGGGTTTCCCTCGAAGGAAGACATCTGTTTGGTTGTTCTCATGTTCGGTTCAAGGTTCTGCGGATCCTCATATCTATTCCAGACGTTCAACATCGTAACATGTTGTTTTGGAATGACGGATGCGTCAAAATGACAGCAGTTTCGTCCTAGAGGATCATATTGTCACCGAGAACTTGCTTGTGCTTTGCTGGGTGGTAATGACCTGTGAGAGGCTGTTCTTCTTAGCGTGTGTGTATTTTTTTTAGTACGGACACAAGAGAGATTTGATGTCCGAGAATAGCATGGAAGTGGGACAGTGAGGCTCTGTTTGAGGTTGTTGGGGAAGCAGCTTTTTCCGTGGGATTGCTTGTACCGTTGTCTAAGCCGACTCTGATCGCCTACTACTGCTGTACGAGGAATGCACCAGGGCAAGGGCAGGAGTGGCGTGGTTACACAGATGCAACCACATGGGGGCGTGCGCGAGGACCGAACCCCCCTCCGAGAGAGCTTCAGAGCTTGTCGCTCACGCTCGTAAATCACCAATAGTGCTTTTACGGTCGTCCTCAAACGTTCTCTCATAGGCAACATCATCCTCAATAAAACAAGCGCCAGCTCATTCAAAGGCACGTTGGCCCCGATCCACAGTTTCGCAATCACGTATACGTCCCAAAAGTCAGTTTTAATCAGAAGCGAACCTTGGCGAGGAAACAGTCTACGGTGACAGCTATGTAGTGCCATGTCGAACGCCCAAAGACACCACAATAACGGGCCGCGAATACGAGGTAGACCGCTTCGACAAAAAACACCTTCGATGGCGGGAGGACGTGCTAGTCGGATCCTAACCCAGCACGTAGAAAAAAAAAGAAACGCAAGACGAAGAAACGCCCACCGAACAAGGCCGCCTTTAAACCACAGGGAAAAACACACATGCACCACAACACAACACACACACACCACCGCACGTGACCCTCACCCCGATCCCCGCGNGCCATGTCGAACGCCCAAAGACACCACAATAACGGGCCGCGAATACGAGGTAGACCGCTTCGACAAAAAACACCTTCGATGGCGGGAGGACGTGCTAGTCGGATCCTAACCCAGCACGTAGAAAAAAAAAGAAACGCAAGACGAAGAAACGCCCACCGAACAAGGCCGCCTTTAAACCACAGGGAAAAACACACATGCACCACAACACAACACACACACACCACCGCACGTGACCCTCACCCCGATCCCCGCGATACACACACCCCACGTCGGCCGCCGGTCCCGAGCCCGCTCTTGCCCCCCACTCCCGCTCTCGCCCTCGACCTCCCCTCCCTGCCAAGTTTAAGGTTCCGAAAGCACTCTAACTTGCGCGTTTGTGGCTCCTGGCTATGTTGTGCTCTGGCCTCATCAAGCCGGCCACCTCCAGCTCCTTGCGGATGGCCTCCTTCGGCTTCGACGCCTTAGCCTGGTCCTTCGCCGGGCGCCCGGTACGCACTGGAACGGTCTCGAAGTAGTCCCTGCTGATGAGGCCGTCGTCGTCAAAAGCGACCTCGGGCGGAGGAATCGCAGACCCCGTGTTCTCCGTGGGGACGTCCACCTTTCGATCCCGACAGAAGTTGTGCAGGCGAACGACGGCGTTCACCACGTGCTCGAACTTCTCGATGCGAACCTCCATGGGGCGCCAGAGGATGCCCCATCTCCTGACCTGTANCTGGTCCTTCACCGGGCGCCCGGTACGCACTGGAACGGTCTCGAAGTAGTCGCTGCTGATGAGGCCGTCGTCGTCAAAAGCGACCTCGGGCGGAGGAATCGCAGACCCCGTGTTCTCCGTGGGGACGTCCACCTTTCGATCCCGACAGAAGTTGTGCAGGCGAACGACGGCGTTCACACGTGCTCAAACTTCTCGATGCGAACCTCCATGGGGCGCCAGAGGATGCCCCATCTCCTGACCTGTAGGCCGTCATTGTAAACCAAGACCAACCAGAAATTACGCACTCCCCCATCGCGAGGGTCTTTACCACGAGTTGCCTCTAACATCAGGACGCTAACTCACCCAATTGCATGCGCGGACTCGCCTACAACTTTTGCCATGCCCACAACGCTCACCAGAATGCCGTAGGTCTGCTCGATTGCCATCCGGCACTGAGACACGTAGTAGTTGCACGCGTCTTGGCTTGCGGAGAGGCTCGTCCCCGGGAACGGGACGACGACGCGCTCGGACGCCCCATAGGCGGCGTCGCCCACGACAAAGTGGCCTTCGGGCAAGCCCGCCAAGAGCTTGTCGAACCCCGAAAAGTTGAACGCGATGCGGTCGTTTTGGCTGCNGCGAACCCCGAAAAGTTGAGCGAGGTGCGGTCGTTTTGGCTGCCTGGGCAATTCATCGTCCAGGCCATGATGCGATACTGGGCGTCGCATACCGCCTGAAGTAGAAGGACAACGTGTGCATGAGCATGTATGTACGTGAAATAACACTCAACCAAAGGCGATTTTTTTCGAAGAGAACCATCGAAGGAGGACGCCACGTCCACATGCCCGCTCAGTTCGGAGAACGGCATGCACGCGCCTCCACAAACTTTACATCACAGCAGTANATTTTTCGAAGAGAAACATCGAAGGAGGACGCCACGTGCACATGCTCGCTCAGTTCGGAGAACGGCATGCACGCGTCTGCACAAACTTTACATAACAGCAGTAGTAGTAGTAGTAGCAATGAGGTCTATTCCAGCCTGTGCACAAAAATATGCGCCCATGACGCGCCTCAACAACACTGCTACCTACAAAGTGCGCACCCTCTTGATGAATCCTGTGCGTTGGGGAGTGGAAAAATACACTTGGAAGCTTCTTTTGAGCCATCGTGCACAACCGAAACCGGAGGTATGAATGAATCCTGCTGAACTGAACCGATGTTCTACCCCCCCAGCACATGTAGGTCCGTCGCTGCTTTGCAGGCAAAACGCACCTGGCATCAGGATAGGCCGCCGACCAAGGAAACAATCTACACATGTATGTGCACATACACACCTGGAAGTTCATGCCGAAGACTTTCTTGTGCCCGTTGTAATACAAGTTGGGCTCTGCGACCTCCTTCGCGCTCGGCTTGATCATCCGGACAAACAAGCCATCCATGGCTCCAACGCACTTCCGGACGACATCCACAAGAGCTGCGGTTGCGGAAAAGCTTGGCGGCTCTGGCAGCATCTTCACCCTCTGGCCACTTGCAGTTCAACTCCGGACAGGCATTCAGGGCGTTGATCACGGTCGACGTGACGTTACGTGGTATGCCGTACTCCTCGCGATGACATGGCCGTCCATGCACTCGTAGATAGACCCCCGCGCGAGCCATCTCAACGTCATCGCGACCTGGTACTCCACCGGGATGGCGCNAACGCACTTCCGGACGACATCCACAAGAGCTGCGGTTGCGGAAAAGCTTGGCGGCTCTGGCAGCATCTTCACCCTCTGGCCACTCGCAGTTCAACTCCGGACAGGCATTCAGGGCGTTGATCACGGTCGACGTGACGTTACGTGGTATGCCGTACTCCTCGCGATGACATGGCCGTCCATGCACTCGTAGATAGACCCCCGCGCGAGCCATCTCAACGTCATCGCGACCTGGTACTCCACCGGGATGGCGCCGTTGCGCAGCAACCCCATCTTCTCGTTCTTCTGCAGGGCAGGTCGCAGGTGATCTACACCAAGCCTGAAGTAATCGTACTCCATGCGAAAGCGCATCGAGAACGTGTGGTCTTGCAGCATCGGCTTGATGTACGTCTCGAAAGGCCGCCTATCTCGCGCGACCAGGGTGCTGCGGTTCCTCTTCGTCGGAGCATCGAGCGCTGAGAGGTTGTCCAAAATGGCCAGTGCATCCAACAGGCTCGACATCCTCTTCATGACAGAGGCCAGCCTATGGGCACGCTTGGCCCTCCTGGTTGGACTGACAGCCATGGCAGGTGGCTCAGCTTGACACGTGCCGTGGGGGACCGCTGTGGTGGTGGTTTGGTAGCGGCAATGCGCTGCAAAACCAGGCACTCTGTCTGGCTTTTGCCAACGGCTGGNAAATGGCCAGTGCATCCACCAGGCTCGACATCCTCTTCATGACAGAGGCCAGCCTATGGGCACGCTTGGCCCTCCTGGTTGGACTGACAGCCATGGCAGGTGGCTCAGCTTGACACGTGCCGTGGGGGACCGCTGTGGTGGTGGTTTGGTAGCGGCAATGCGCTGCACAACCAGGCACTCTGACTTTTGCCAACGGCTGGGGGGCACATGCAGCGCGAGTGACGATTTGCACCTACCCCATCAAGTTTTCCACTCATGTAGGCGTTTTTTCGGTGACCTTCGCGTTCCCGTTAAGACTGCAGGCCCGCCTCCCGGCAAAAATCTGTCTTGGATTTTGATTTTTTTTTCCTGGAAACAGAATCTTCCGATTTCGATAAGACAGGCTCTTGAGCGGGAAGAGTCTTTAAAAATGGTGTCTTTAAAGCGGGGACGGCTGTACGTCACAACAGCAGTCTGGCAGTTGCAAGCGGCGGACCCCTCGGGTTGTTCGCGGCGGACTGCAGAGATTCGTTTCCATTTGGCAGATCTGCCTTCGAGACACACAGGCCATTCATTNTTTTGATTTGATTTTTTTTTTCCTGGAAACAGATTTTCCGATTTCGATAAGACAGGCTCTAAACTACTTCAATTTTGCGTCAAACAAAAGAAAAAATTACAATATGTGTAGTGTGGGACAATAATAAAAACGTTTCTTACGGTTGCCTGTGTTTGTCGTAGGCCGTCCTGCATTCGTTGAACCAGTACCGAGCGGTGGACTCCGTCGGGAAGGGGGCGTCCAGGTAGTTGGCGCACCTGTACTTCATCCTCGACTCTTGAGGCAGCTGCAGCCACTTCTTGCGGACGGACTCGAACAGGGGTTTTTGCTCGGTAATGTAGTCCACCGCTCTCGTCTTCCACGTGAATTTCGCCCGTCTATGGCCGAGCCGGTGCGAATCCCTCACCTTCGCCAGGAGGGCCTCGAACAACATGCCCTTGTATACCAAGTTCATTTGTCCCCTCGCCCTTTGGGAGCTTGGGGTGCAGGGTACTGCTGCTGCATCTGCTGCCGTTGAGGAGGCTGCCGCTGTACACTGCCATGCTGTTGTTGGTGTACGCAGACGGAATGATGATACGGTGGTTGTGCAGCCTGGCTGCTGCTGTGGTGAGAGGCAGGAAGCACAAGCGTGGGGTCATTACCCCCATGTCCAACAGGGCTCACCGCTCTCTGCCGTGGCGGTTGGCCCCCGGTCACGGCCTCCTCCGCATGGCGCTTGCCGAGGACATTCGTGGAGCTGGACATTTGAGGAGCCGCTGGGGGTACGTACCGCTGCACTCAAGGTTGCCAGGGGAGTTCATGATCTACCGATCGATGTGAACGCTGTCTCCAGGAAGGCGGCGATGTTTTACAGGGTGTGTGGTGGCGCTTGGTGGGGGGCGTGCGTGCTCTTCGCTAGAGTGGTTCAGGTGCTGTGCCGTGCGTAAGCTAACCGGAGGGGCGAGGGTTTGAGACAAGAACTTCGTGGATGGGGGGTAGGGCAGCATACGTTCTCAGTCGTAGGGTATTTGGACTTCGCGCGTTGGCGGGCTAGGTGCAATTTGTTTTGGTCGTTATGGTGTTTTTCACCCTAGCAAATCTGACATTTAAAACTATATTTGCCAAATTCGCGGGACTGTGCGAGCATTTGGGCAAATTTCTGAGTTTTAAACAACTCTCCTGCGGGCCGCTCTTTGCACGCACCACGCACCACAGGCGCCATCCGCAACTGATGAGAATAGATTTTTTGCGAGGGGGGGGTGGTGATGAACCATCCCCGGCTAAGGTCTGAAAATTTTATGACACACTACCCCGCGGGCACGTACATGGTGGATTCGTTTTCTTTTTTTTTTGTACTAATTTTGACCGGGTTTCAACTCATTTCCCCTATTGCCCTCAGGAAATTCGCGAAACGCAAAAACCCGGGGATGGGCCTGAAACATCCCCGGTTTTGAAAAGTGGTCAGATTGATCTGAGAATTTCAGGTTAGGGTAATTTTGGGTGAGGATTACGAATCCGCGGTGTTTTTTTTTTTCAATTCGATTTTGCCATTGAGATACAGGTACACATTGAACAGCATCGCCTTGCCAAGAAAATCAAAAATATTTCAAGATATTTTACACATCCTCTCGGGAACCGCCCCCCACACACACCCCTAAGTTCGACCTCAAACGGGCTCTGAAGCCCAACACTGCTCCGCGAGCAAATACAAGAAGCATGCCACTTAAATGCCAGCCCACCTCCCGACACGGGCAAAAATACTGGGCTCTTCCTTCCTTCCAAGCTCTTCCCAAATCTTTGATGCAGTAGCAGAGTCGCCGTCCTGCCACTGTGTCCCAGTTATTCTCTTCTTTTTGCATTCCTTCTTGTATCGCGGGAACTTCATCCCCTCGGAGGCATCTTCGTCTACGGGCGCTACTCCAGTGTCCATGATCACCGTTTCCTTCACTACACCATCCTCCATTGCGGGAACGAGACGGGGGTACGTCTTGCTAACGTAGCACTGCTCATACTCAGAACGCTGGCACGCCGAGCAGAAGCACGACGCCAAACGAGTCCTGAGACTGTAGGTCCGTTTCACCTTCCTGCAAGTCACGTCTTCCTCCCCCGATATCGGATCCTGCAACCCAGCCCCCTGGCCCTTCTATCTGCTCGCTACTGCACCCAACACCTTGACTTCCCGCAACCGGCTCGTCTCTAGACTCGACAACTGGCCCTGGCCCTCGCTCTTCAGCACGAGCTTACAGTCATCTTCGCGTCCCTTGGTTGAGGTGGACCCATCCCACTTGGGAGTGTTTGCTCCCGCAAAGTGGTACATCTCTCGTGTACCCTCTACGCCTTCCAGGATCGAGTTTGGCCGATAGACCTCCTTCTTACCGATAATCTCGACGTGCACCCTCCGCATGCGGTACGGAGACCACTTCGCGAAGTACCTCCGCATACCCTCCTCCCCCTCGCTGCCTGCCTTCTCCCGAAAGAAGCTTCGCAAAAAGCTGACCACCCCGTTCGCCACCATGATTCGCTTGCCAAATCTCTCCCTCCTCTTCATGGCGTTCTTTGCGACTCCGCCGATCCCATCATGGCAACCTTTGAAGTGAGATGTGGCCGCGAAGTGGTGGTCGATGAAGGAGCCAATTTGCCGGACGCTGTCGGCCAAAAAGCGGAAACTCCGCCTTCCCTTGTACTGCTTCCCGCACCCATCGGTAAAGATGTGAATCCGAGGCGTCCTGCCTTCTTTCCGGGCGGCAGCTGTTGCTTCGCTCCCATCTCCACGCAGGTAGTGGTCCGCCATCCTGACCAAGCCGTGCAGGTGGAAATCGCAGTCATGTGCCATGTCCTCAGATACAAAGATCCATGTTCCGTCACGTGCGCCCTGCCACCCCCCACGTGTGTCTGCGGGTTGAAGTGGACGATGGCCACCATGAGCGTTGTCTGCGGGTAAACAGGCATCATCACGCTGATGTAAGATTGGTGAGTATACTTCTCGGCAAAGTCGGTCTCAATGACAAGGTCACCGTCCTGAAACGTCTCCAAGCAACGCCCGTGGCAGTGCCTTTGCCACTTGGCGATAGAGTGGTGAGCCATGTACAGCTCGGTGTGCTCTTTGAAAGCCAACCAAAGATCGCAAAGCTTGCCCTCCTTCGGCACCGTCTGGTTGGCGAGCTTCTTGGCCTTGATCTTCCCATCCGCTGATGCAGGCACAGTTATCACGTCCTCGAACATCTTCTACACCACCGTCTGCTCGGAGGTCTCCAGCTTGCTGCAGATGGAAATGCCTTCAGTCCCCCCGAACCCACACATAGCGCAGTCCAAAGAGTTGCACTCCGGTTTCCGCCCCATTCAACTGTCACCCTCCGGGTCCGCTGCCCGCAAGTTGACCTTCGGGCAGCCAATTGCATCGGAGAAAGTGCCCATATGCTTCGGCGCTTCCCGCTACCTGCGTTCGCCGTCTACGTTGCACCATCGACAATCGCATTCCCCGTGGCTGGTTATGTCGACATTGGCTAGCGCCTCGATGTATAGCACCTGCTGCGAATGGATCTTGCACGCGCACTGCTCCATTGCAGGGAGGACCAGGCACTTGCAACGCGTCGAGAGGAAGAGCGTACAGCCAGGGTCCGTGAAGTTGTCGCTTTGTCGCTCCTTGAAGCTCTTGTAGGACGCCCAGTTGAGGAACTTGGCGTACACCGCCTCGCCCCCACCCGGCTCCGTAAGCTGCCACCGAGGGTGGCGGTGAGCTGTCGGAGACTTGCTCTCGTTCCACATGTCGCGCTCAGCTGAGTTACCATGCTGGCGTGACATCTCGTCCGTGTGCCAGTACTGTCTCATCAACTCCAGCAGCTCTTCGCTGGGAGCATTGCTTTGCTTAGCTCGGACCCAAAACCAGTAGACACCGCGCTTTATCGCCTCGGTTGGTTGGAGATCGGACAGCAATTTCTTGGCACGCTCCGCCGCAAAGTTGAAGGCTTGCTCGCGAACCCCCAGCGCTGCTGCCCTACGTCTTGCTGACACCGATGGAGCCCCGTCTACGTCGTCCACGGGATACGACGCAGCGGTGAGGATCGTTTGAAACGTGTGGCTACCCTCCTTGGTTCTACGTTGCCTTTGCGCTTGCTCGAGGGCTCGCTCTAACGAGACCGCTGTGCTGACCTTGGCTTCCAACTCTCGCACGCGAACACGCGTCTCCTTCGCAAACTTTGAGCCGGTGCCTTCCAAGTGATGCAGCGCCTTGTTATACCCCATGCTGTCCATGGACGCGACAAACGTTTCCGTAGACTGCTGGCGCCAGTCAGCCGGCGCCGTCTGTGTGCACACATGACGAACGAGGAGGAGCGGAGGGAGGGAACGACGTTGCGCAACGCATTCAGGCATAACAGTAAGACACGACTGACAGAGAGACCATTGCACACACAAAATTGGGCACTTGCTATGCGCGGGAAGCAACACGGACGAGTCTCGGTGTACTTCGCATGCGATCCGATCCTCTCGGTGGAATTAACCCCCCCCGTCGCGACTAGTGAGAACCCGGCGTGCTCCGTCCCGGCTTTGTAGGGATGCGAGGTCAATGGTCTAACGACTACGGCATGCACGACCTTGAGTACACCCTCCCCCTCGCAACTATTCATGCAATCCGATCCTCTCGGTGGAAATAACCCCCCCTCGACGCAATTATTGCGTGCCTCTTCATCAGGGTTCTATTTTTTAAACGGTTCTCGGCAGAAGTACTGCAAGTGTTGATTGATGAGTTTGTAGAGGATCTCACCGGCTCAGCTGGCTCGCTTATCGTCACCCCGTATCGGGTCCTGCCACATCCTCGAAAAGCCGCCATGACGGGGTCGGCTACCTCTCTGTCGGCATTCGTCTTAGCGCCACCGCCGCTGCTGCTGCTGCCACCGGAACGCCCGCGAGCCTTCTCCCACCTTTCGCGCTTGTTCTTGAGAAGCCTATGAGCCATCTCTAAGGCTTTTGAGGCTGCACGTTCTTCGGTGCTGGCAACAAAGACCTGTTACTTGTTCGAAGACCTGTTGGGGCTCTTCTTGTCGACGAGAGTTGTGATCAGCAGCACCTCTCCGCGTGGCTGGTTTCCCAGCCAAAGGATGCGCTCACACTTGCCTGGCTTTGACACAGCTGCCGCTGGCCCAACTTCGGCTGCACTCATGTTTCAACCCGCGCGCACCTCAGTTTTTCTCTGATAAACTTTCTGAGCGGCTCTACCCCCCATAAGTCGGCTACGAGGAATCGATTGCCGAGGTGTACAAAGTCCACATCGGTCTGGAATGCGGCGAAAAATATTTCTTAAGGGGTTCCCGAACCAATTATTTTTTGTACTGTTTTTTAGGAATTCTTTGGATAGTAATGAAAGCCATGAAAAAAACGGTTTTAAGGGTACTTCTTATGTATAATATCTGATCAGATTATTTTTGATCAAGAATCATTTTTTCCAAGTTTTCTGATCAACTCGGGCGATCAGAAACCCAGATCATTTTTTTTTCGATCAAAAAAGGCGCAAAAATGACACATAAGAAGCCGGATGTGACACCTAGATCATTATTGATCAAAAATAATCTGGCGAAAATGACACATAATAAGTAGCCTAAAGAATCCCTTTTTTTCAGCTGCGCCGGGCGAATGCGCATCAGTTGCGGATGGCGCCCACAGTGAGTGCAGAAGTAGCGAACGGTCTGCTGCTGCAGCTGTCGCTGGGTCTTGATATGGATGGATAGATTCCTCCCATTTACCGGCTGTCCATCTGATGCCGTCAAAAAAATGTCGTGCATAACCTCGTCCCTCACCGAGGGCGAGGTTATATCTTGCTTGGAGGACGTTCGATCCTATTTGTACTCGAAGGGAAGGGGTGGCGAGTACCGTGAGACGTGCTGAGAAGCCGTGGTCATCGTGCTTCTCAACAAGACGCAGTACCTTCTTTCGAAGACCATTCATTCGTCTACTCATGAAATTCAACAGAGCCGTAGAGCCAAGCCGCGGGGGGAGGTTCAGGGGACTCTTCGCGATAGGTGGAGGGAAAGGCCGTCACGTCATGGTAGCTTTTTTTGGACTCCGCCGGGACAGTGATATGTTCTAGTGGTACTCGGTGCGACGCTGAAATACGCTCGTTTTTTTTCTGTTTCACAAGAATGCGATAAATATATGTCTACTTGGACGTCGCTCCTTCTTCCGCTGCCGGTTATGCAGTACATTAGTTGGTCAAGAATAAACTGGTGTACGCTGTAGTTGTTTTCAACACGTCCGTCCCCGACCGTTGTACATCTCATTTCAAGTATTGTAAATATGTTCGACGTCAACAAACGGTTGCCAGTCGTCTCGGCGATGCTGACTTCTCGTACCACACTCTTCCTTAGCAAAAGACGGGTAGTTTGAGGTATAGCATGCCTCCATTGGCCTCGAGGATGGTGAGCTATCGGCCCCTGAATTTTAAGGACGCAACTTCGCTTTCCTGACGCTTTTTTTCGGGAAAACCCATGTGCGTCCTTTAAGCGGGGTCGACTGTGGAAGTACAACAGTAGACTACCGCAGCCACTCCTTGCCCATACCAGCAGGAGAAGCCAGCTTCCATATATCCTGCGCTGCAGTAGTTCGCCGTCGGCAAAAACAAATTACGATTTGCTCTACATTCATTCCTGTGGAGTGGAACTTCACTATTGTCGGCAGTATTGCAGCATGGCAGCGACCAACGGCTTTGCTGCTGTCAGTAAGGGCTGCTGCCAGACGTCGGTACTGCACGTATTTACGTAACTCTTTGGCGACACGAATGGTTGGTTTTACGGGGTTCGCAACATGCAGTTTATGTCGTGTTGTTCTCCGTTTGACGACAGTACTACGGTCTACTGTGCTGTGCATACATATGTTTTGTCTGTTTTCTCGTGTTCGAGATCAGGCCAGCGCGCTTCTTCTCTCTCTCGGTCGCATCTCGTACTACTGCACCCATGAAAAATTGGCCCTGGAGTAGCGAGAGAAACAACACCCTTTTGTTCTCGTCGATCTGAGGGTGTAGCAGCACTCGGTACTAGCTGTTCGTGGGTCTGCGACGATTGGTGTTGGATACATGTGCTAGATGATTTGGTGTCGCGCAGACTGGCAAGATTGCCGTTTGGTAGGGGGCACCACGATGATTCATGGGGCCCCTCCTTGCTGTAGGAGCCGCTCTTCGAGCATTCCCTCGTTCGTCCGTGCGAAGGACGGTCGTCTACCTCTCGTGAAGTTAATACATCACCAAAACAGTCTCACCCGAGAAAATGTGGCGTAGGCCGCAAACACTCTATCTACGGTTTTTGCCCCTCGAGGGAAGCCATATTGGGATGAGCTATGCTGGAGACGAAGAGCGCACTGCTGCGACCGGAGAACAGATCCGACCGCCGGTGCAGGAGGGCCGCGATGCGGAGCTTGCACGTTTGCAACTGCAGATTTCGCAATTGGCGGTCCTGGTGGAGGAGTCGGTGAAGAAGGAGCCTGGCAGTGTCGTGCGGATGCAGCCAGTAGGGGCGGCTGGGTTGCCGCCCCCGAAGGCCAGCAAGAGCCCCTGCAGCCGCATGGCGGAGGAGGGGGATTTCTTCAGCCGCAAGCGAGAGATGGTGGGCAAGGACCACGTCAGCTGCTGGAAGGCGGCTGGGCCAGCAGATCGGGAGCGAATCCCGCGAGACCAGTCGGAGTGGACCCGGGCAGAGGACCGGACAATGGGGAAGCGAGGGGGTTAAACCCCCCAGGTGAGATACCCGTGATTCGAGGAAATGGAGAATTTCTCGACGGCTGCAGCAGTAACCACATGAAGAGAGTTACAGTCAATGCCCCGCGTCTCGAAGGGGAGAGTCGCGGCCATGGGTATGATTCGTGGAGAAAGTCGCTTATCCAAGCGGCCAAGACTGTAGGGCCGGACGGCCAATTGATCGGCAACAACGAGAGACATGCATCTGTCGGCAACCTAAACGTGCCAATCTCGGAGCTGTACCGCCTCCAATACACCAGCGACGAGGTCCAGAAGGGCCTCCAAGCGTTCCATTTTGTGACCATTGCCATAGTCAGAGAAGCCGACAAGGCGATCGTAAACAAATGCGAGAACGCAAAAGAGATCCTCGCGGAAGTCGACAAAATCTACGATCCGGCATCGCAGGGCTCCAATCAAGCCCTCATGAATAAAATGTTCAACTTCACGATCCCCACACACAGCAGCAGAATCCCCATCGAGCACCTATTCTCGCTCGAGCTGCTGCACTCACGCCTGTGCGAAAAAGGGCTCAACGCTGACGCACCCTTCGTACTCGCCCACTTCGTTGGATCCCTCCCACCCGGGTACCAACAAGCGAAGTTCCTGTTGGAGACAGCAACGGCGCCGGATAGAGCCGAGATCGTCAGAATCGTGAGCACGGTGCACGCGAGCCTCCCGGAGGAGAGCAAGGCCTCGAAGCGCCAGCGGAGGGNCATGGGTATGATTCGTGGAGAAAGTCGCTTATCCAAGCGGCCAAGACTGTAGGGCCGGACGGCCAATTGATCGGCAACAACGAGAGACATGCATCTGTCGGCAACCTAAACGTGCCAATCTCGGAGCTGTACCGCCTCCAATACACCAGCGACGAGGTCCAGAAGGGCCTCCAAGCGTTCCATTTTGTGACCATTGCCATAGTCAGAGAAGCCGACAAGGCGATCGTAAACAAATGCGAGAACGCAAAAGAGATCCTCGCGGAAGTCGACAAAATCTACGATCCGGCATCGCAGGGCTCCAATCAAGCCCTCATGAATAAAATGTTCAACTTCACGATCCCCACACACAGCAGCAGAATCCCCATCGAGCACCTATTCTCGCTCGAGCTGCTGCACTCACGCCTGTGCGAAAAAGGGCTCAACGCTGACGCACCCTTCGTACTCGCCCACTTCGTTGGATCCCTCCCACCCGGGTACCAACAAGCGAAGTTCCTGTTGGAGACAGCAACGGCGCCGGATAGAGCCGAGATCGTCAGAATCGTGAGCACGGTGCACGCGAGCCTCCCGGAGGAGAGCAAGGCCTCGAAGCGCCAGCGGAGGGTGGAGCATGCTCTCCTCGCGAGCAACGGTAGCGGTGGGGGAGGAGCGCCGAGCCGCGGCAACGGCGGCCGCCGCAAGGGCGGCGGCGGCGGCGGCGGCGGCGGCGGCGGCGGCGGCAACCAGAAGGGGAGAGGGGGTGTACTCATAGCCGTGCATGCCGTAGTCGTTAGACCATTGACCTCGCATCCCTACAAAGCCGGGACGGAGCACGCCGGGTTCTCACCGGACTAGAAGGGGAGAGGGGGTGGCGCAAAGGCTGGTGTCGGCGGTGGAGGCGGCGACGACGATGAGGGTAGCATGCGCGGTCGCTGTTGCCGACGCGGCAAGAAGGGCCACCAGTTGGCCCACTGCACCGAGAGCACGCCCGTGCGATGTGAGACATGCAAGGGCTACGGGCACGACAAGAGCAAGTACCTGACCGAGGAGGCGGTGCTCGTGGTGGACGTGCCGGCGGGGGGGGCGTCTGTGGACGCCACAGCACTGGACGTGGCAGAAGAGGCGCTGGTGGTCGGTGACATCTCAGGCGAGTGTCACGGAGTCGTTGTTCGAGGAGGTGTAGTTCAGGCTAGGCGGGGGAGGTATGTTGCCGATACCGGCGCTACCACCCACATGTTCGCGAACTCAGATGAGTTCGTTCGTTACGAAGAGTGTAATCGACGTGTGCGCGTCGCCGCCGGAGAAANACCGAACATGCCTATGCCGCAATTGCTCCTGGCAACGTGAAAGCGTCCAACGCCCCCGTTGACATCAACGATTTCCACTGCGCGCACCGCCACTCCCACGAGGTGCTGCTGAGGACCACGGCGAAGCAGCAAGGGACGACGCTGGTGGGCGAGCTCCGGGAGTGCCTGGGGTGCTCGACGGCGAAGGGGCTTTCCAAGCCCATCCCCAACAAAACGTCGACCCGAGCAGTTAAGAAACTGCAGCGAGTTTTCGTGGATTTGAGTGGAAAAGCTAGGGTGCAGAGCTTGGGGGGAAAGTGGTACACTCTCATTGTCAAGGATGATTACACAAGGTGGAACCGTGTCTATTTCCTGAAGCACAAATCAGACGCAGCTGAGGCATTCGAGAGATACCTTGCCGAAAACCGGGCAAACGGTGCCCCGTCCGATGTCATGGTCGTGAGATCTGACAACGGAGGAGAGTTCTTTGAGGGAGAGTTCGGCAGGGTGTGCCGGAAGTACTGCATCAAACAGGAGTTCACCCCCGCGCACAGCCCAGAATACAACGGTGTAGCTGAGAGAGCACTGGGTCTGATCAAGGATGCAGCACTAGCCGCCCGTATCCAAGCGCCAACTCTTTACCCCGGAGCACCGAACTACCCATCCCTTTGGGCCGAGGCCATAGCTTGGTCATGCAACGCCCTGAACTGCACCTCCACCACATCCAACCCAGAGAAGAAGTCGCCGTACGAGATGTGGCACGGGCACCCTCCCCCGCCGGGGGCGACGTACCCGTTCCTCAAACCTGCCGTATACAAGGTCAAGCGCACACACAAGTCCGAGCCAAAAGCCCAAAAGTGTTTTTACCTCGGCCCGGGAATCAACACCAACCGTGATTGCGTGCGCATCCTCAACGAAAAACGCCGAGCGATCACAACTCGCAACTTCACCTGGCAATCCGTGCCCGCCGCCCCCGCCGCCCTGCCCCAGTCGCTGCCTCCCATCGCAGAGGAGGAAGAGGAATTCGCGACTGAGGAGGACGAGGTTGGGGAGGGCGCGTCGAACCAAGGTGGAGGGAGGGCGGAGAGAGAACCTGTGGATGGAGGACCAGGTTTCAACCTTGGCACGACGGCAGCCCCAGGGCCCGCGGGGCCGCCCGCGCGCGCAGCGCCGGCGGCACCGCCGGCCGCGCCCCAGGAGTCGGGCGCGGGCGACGCTGGCGATGGCGCCCCCTCGAGCAGGGAGAGCGCGAGCATAGCCCCATCTACCACGTCGACCGGCACGGCCGATGTGGGCGGCGGCGAGGACGACCGCCGCAGCAGCAGCAGCCGCGGTAGCGGCGGCAGCGGCGGCAGCGGCGGCGACAGCAGTAGCCGCGGTAGCGGCGGCAGTGGCAGCGACAGCAGCAACGGTGGCAGCAGCGTCGACGACGACGGCAGCGACAGCAGACGTGGCAGCGACAGCGAGACGGATCTCCCGGCGCTCTGTGGGCCAGAGGCCCGGCGGCTCGCCCGCTTCGACAAGCCGGCGGAACTCACCAGCCGCCGCACTAGGGAGAACCCTCGCCGAAATCCGAGGTACGAGTCGCCCCCGTCGCCGCCCACATCGGCCCCGTCGCCGACAAGTGCCGAAGCCCTGCTCGCCTCGGTGGCGAGCCTGCCCGACAGCAGCACGGAGGAGTTCACCCGCTGGATGCTCTCGGCAGTACTTCACGTGGCGGAGGGGCTAGAGGCGAGGGTGGTGCGAGAGTTGCTGTCCGAGCGCGCGCAGGAGGCCCACGCTGCGCGCCAAGAGGCGGAGGATTTCCTGCTGGGTACGGTGGACCTCATGCTCAACTCGCCAGACGCCTTCGAGACGGCTCTGGCGTCCCACGAGCTAAGTGAATCCCCCATAGGCAAGCGTCCGAGTGATGTAGAAGCCCCACCCATGACTGTAGCCGGCGTTGCCAAGTCTGTTTACCGAGAGGGGTGGGAACAGGCCATGAGGGAAGAGTTTGAAGGGCACTTGGGCACGGGGACGTTTTAATTCGTAGACGGTGCGCCAGAGGGGCGCAGGCCTGTGAGCTCAAAGTGGTGTTTTAGTTGGAAGACCAACAAGGAAGGGAAGATAGGAAAGTTCAATGCGCGTCTGGATGCTAGGGGGTTTTCGAAAATCCCGGACGTCGATTATTTCCATTCGTCTTCCCGTTGCCCATCATCCGCATCCATTGAACTGATGCTTGCGGTAGCGAACGAGAAGGGCATGAACCTCAATCACTGGGATGTGAAGCAGGCGTATACACACACCACCCTAGACGAGGAGGCATACACAATCGCATATAATTGTTAAGGCTGAGCGTGCGATCTACGGTCTGAAGCAGAGCGGTAGGCAGTGGGGGTACCACGCTGCTGACACTCTCGTCGAGAACGGGTTCGAACAGTGCAAGGTGGACCCGTGTGATTTCCGCAGGATGGTAGAGGAAGTCGTGGTGATGATTACCGTGATCTGCGTGGATGACATTTTGGTGGCTGGGTCTGACGAGGATTGCGAGGAGTTGCTTGCTTCTCTCAACAAGAAATTCCCCACCAAAGATACGGAAGAGTGCGAATGGTTTGACGGATGTGCCATTGAGAGGGATATAGAGGCTGGGACTCTTAAAATCTCGCAAACCGCGTACATCGACAGCATGGTTGAACGCTTCGATGTAAAATCGACCCTTCGCATTCCTGCTTCCCCTGGTGTCGACCTAGGGCCAAGGCGAGATGACGAGAAGGGAGGGGAGTGGCCGGTGAGGGAGGCCATCGGCAGCATGATGTGGGTGTCGACGTTCTCGCGTCCAGACGTCTCGTTCGCCGTGCGTGCGGTAGCGCGCCACGCCCACGNTTTCGTTGTTGACCCTTAGACCAGTGGTAGCAGCATCCAGGTCGTTGAGGACAACTAGGGGGCCATAGAGTTCGTGCAGAAACCCCTCAGCTCAGGTCGCACGAAACACTTCGATGTGCGATTCCATTTCATCCGCGGATTGTTTAGGTCGGGGGATATTACGGCCAAGTTTGTTCCGACAACGGAGCAACACGCGGACCTCCTTACCAAGGCCCTTAGCAGGGCCAGCCTGCAGTATCACCGGCGCAAGTTGATGAATTTGCCGGAGTAGCCGTAGCAGTTTCTAGCACTTGCCTTGGACTTTCTAGTAAGTGCAGCCGTTGTGATCCGCTATGATAGCGACGGTTTTTGTGGTGGTAGGGGTCACCCGGGTTGCACGCGGTGGAAAAAGCAAAAAAAAAGGCCCCACGGGGCTCCGTACATGGTAGCTCAGCAGACACGGTACCCGGGAAGGGGCCAGCACAAAAAAACAGGCGCCCCCTCGAGCAGGGAGGGCGCGAGCGTCGCCCCATCTACCACGTAGGCCGGCATGAGCGATGTGGGCGGCGGCGAGGACGACCGCCGCAGCAGCAGCAGCCGTGGTAGCGGCGGCAGCGACAGCGACAGCAGCAGCAACGGCGGCAGTGGCAGCGGCAGCGTCAACGACAGCGAGACGGATCTCCCGGCGCTCTGTGGGCCAGAGGCCCGGCGGCTCGCCCGCTTCGACAAGCCGGCGGAACTCACCAGCCGCCGCACTAGGGAGAACCCTCGCCGAAATCCGAGGTACGAGTCGCCCCCGTCGCCGNGGACTTCCTGCTGGGTGAGGTGGACCTCATGCTCAACTCGCCAGCCGCCTTCGAGACGGCTCTGGCGTCCCACGAGCTAAGTGGACCCTCCATTGGCAAGCGTCCGAGTGATGTAGAACCCCCCCCCATGACCGTAGCCGGCGTTG